CTCTCTCTCTCTCTCTCTCTCTCTCTGTCTCTCTCTCTCACACACACACACACACATACACAAATTCATTTCAAAGAGCATGCATTTATTTTTGTGTTTAGCCAGTTAGTCTACAAGTAACTTTTTTTTTTTGGGGTTGCAATTTTGACTCTCTGTTAGAGATTTGGTGAGTATTGACTTCACGGCTGCGGCTTATAATCTGCTACAAGTAGTCAGATGCTATCACACTTTTCGGCGCCACGGCAAGCTAATGAAATCACTCAAAAATATGGCTTGGGTTTGTTACTTACTAGATCAGGTACTTTTATACATGCTCATAATGCTACAAATTTTATCATTTAAAATTGTTTTTGGGCAGCGAAATAATTTTATTCCGCAATAAAACTATATATATTAAAAGTTTAATTCCCACCTCATGTCCAAATTGAATATATCCTTAAGAAAGATACTTATTGATATGCTCTATTTCTAATCTAAAAGATACATTCCCTCACGTATGGAAATTAAAATCTAACTATAACTTAAGGTGCGTTTAGCAATAAACCAGCTGACCATGCTATGATTTTGCAGCTGGTCAGNCTATTTCTAATCTAAAAGATACATTCCCTCACGTATGGAAATTAAAATCTAACTATAACTTAAGGTGCGTTTAGCAATAAACCAGCTGACCATGCTATGATTTTGCGGCTGTTCATGGCCTTTTATATGGTAAGGAAAAAAAATGCATTTTTTGCTATTAAGAGGGTTCAAAGAGGAGATCTCATTAAATTTGGTGGGGAGACTTCAGCTTGTTTTGTTTTTTGGACGTTTTTAAAAATATTATTTTGAATGTTTTCATATTTTTTCTTGTTTTCAAAATGGAGTAACAAAAAAAAATGAAAATATTCACTATGCTTATTTTTATTTGTTATTTTTTATTATTTCAAAAGGTGAAAAAAAAAATAACTAAAANGGGCCTTTTATATGGTAAGGAAAAAAAATGCATTTTTTGCTATTAAGAGGGTTCAAAGAGGAGATCTCATTAAATTTGGTGGGGAGACGTCAGCTTGTTTTGTTTTTTGGACGTTTTTAAAAATATTATTTTGAATGTTTTCATATTTTTTCTTGTTTTCAAAGNGAAATGGATATTCTGAAAAAGGAGGCTTCTCTGAGGCTTTTTGCTACTTTGCTGTTAGTGTTGACCGCTTTTCTTGTGATACTTGATTCCCAAACCGAGGTCATCTTTTACACAATTAAGAAAAAAGCAACTTACAGGGAGATGAAAGTCTTAAAGTAAGCACCCTCTCCCTCTCTCTCTCTCTCTCTCTCTCTCTCTCTGTCTCTCTCTCTCTCACACACACACACACATACACAAATTCATTTCAAAGAGCATGCATTTATTTTTGTGTTTAGCCAGTTAGTCTACAAGTAACTTTTTTTTTTTGGGGTTGCAATTTTGACTCTCTGTTAGAGATTTGGTGAGTATTGACTTCACGGCTGCGGCTTATAATCTGCTACAAGTAGTCAGATGCTATCACACTTTTCGGCGCCACGGCAAGCTAATGAAATCACTCAAAAATATGGCTTGGGTTTGTTACTTACTAGATCAGGTACTTTTATACATGCTCATAATGCTACAAATTTTATCATTTAAAATTGTTTTTGGGCAGCGAAATAATTTTATTCCGCAATAAAACTATATATATTAAAAGTTTAATTCCCACCTCATGTCCAAATTGAATATATCCTTAAGAAAGATACTTATTGATATGCTCTATTTCTAATCTAAAAGATACATTCCCTCACGTATGGAAATTAAAATCTAACTATAACTTAAGGTGCGTTTAGCAATAAACCAGCTGACCATGCTATGATTTTGCAGCTGGTCAGGGCCTTTTATATGGTAAGGAAAAAAAATGCATTTTTTGCTATTAAGAGGGTTCAAAGAGGAGATCTCATTAAATTTGGTGGGGAGACTTCAGCTTGTTTTGTTTTTTGGACGTTTTTAAAAATATTATTTTGAATGTTTTCATATTTTTTCTTGTTTTCAAAATGGAGTAACAAAAAAAAATGAAAATATTCACTATGCTTATTTTTATTTGTTATTTTTTATTATTTCAAAAGGTGAAAAAAAAAATAACTAAAACTCGCTGTTACTCTTAATGTTGCATCATTTGTTTTTAGTGCTTCACTTGGAGCTGGTCCTCCAACCCCACCCCCCCTCCCCCCTACATTGGAGTTCACGCTTGAAGACTCGTTAATTTTATTGCTATGGCCAGATGACGCTACGGGTCTCTCTCTCTCTCTCTCTCTCCCCCCTTGGAGTTCACGCTCGAAGATCCGTTAATTTTATTGTCTATGGCCAGACATAAATAGATCACCTCATCACATACGAGAGTTGGAGTGCAAAAATGATAATTTTAAAAAATATTTGAGTTTAAGAATGCCACAAGAGTGTCATATTATATAAATCATGACAAACATTCATCCAAAAAATATATAAGAAATTAAATTTTATGTACAACTATGTGAAAAATTATTTAATTTTTAAATCTATATTGATTATAAGATCCTAAAATAGCAGTTATAGATTAGAAATATCTTTCTAGTTTAATACGTATCTTTATGAATAGGTCAAATACTATTCAAATAGCGAGTAAGCACATAAGTAAAATCATGAATTGAAAAAAATTGGAATTTACAAATTACCTAAAATGAGAGCGAGAATTTGCGAACGAAACGCCAAAGTATCCACTATGTTGAAAGATTATGTAACTACGCTCATATAGCATTTATTTGGTAGGAGACCTTCACTATCACGTAGCACACTCCTCTGGCATTTATGAATCAGTAGATGCTGATATCTCCAGTCCTTTGCCCTTCAAGCAGTCCACTTCCTTCTCGTTTAAAAATAAGGTAATGTTATAGGGGCAGAGCAACTATTCACCCTTTGGATTAACATGTTATGTTCACTTTTTCTATTAGAATTTTTTTTTTTGGGGGGGATTAAACAAAATGTATTGAAACTTGTATTGGCTTCAATGACCTCTTTACAATCAGTGTTGTGACATCAAACAAAACCACCATATGACACAAGGTAGTAGCAAAACAAAATTAATCTAATTAGGTACTAGCATGTTGTCCAGCACACCATTAGATTATTTCATATTGGCAAAAACATCCCACTTCTGCCATTGATACCTGTCAGCTTTGGGCTATACATATGTTTTGGGGAGTATTATTGATCTTCAAAGAGATTAACTTGTTACGCACTATACATTAATAATCTTTTGATAAAATATGTATTTATATATATATATATATATATATATAAATATATATATATATATATATATATATATAAATATATTAAAAAATTTAAAAAATAAAAATAAAAATTTTAAATTAAAAAAAAATATTTTTTTCCATCTTAGATAGAGGTGAAAATTTTCGACTCAACACGATAACACAACTCAAACTTGACACAAATTTTATTATAACTCGACATGAACTTGAAAATGACCTGACATGCGAACAAGAAATATAATCTGCTCATATTCAGTTCAACTGATTAAACTCAAAATTGACACCATCAACCCATTTATTTAAAAATAAATACTTTCTTTATTTTCTCGTTTATATAGTAACACGAAATTAACACAAAACTAACATGTTTAACTAGTATTATAGACATAAAATATTAATTATTTGTAACTATTTGTTAAGCTCTGACATTATTCTTATATCAAAAATATATTTTTACTTATTATTATTATTATTATTATATGTATTTCAGTTAATTTTTATTATTATTATTATTATTATTATTATATGTATTTCAGTTAATTTTTAGTTTGTAGAAAAAATATGAACATGAATTCAATTAAGTGAAAATAGAATATAAATGTTAAATTTTTTATTCAAAGTTTATGTCGGTCAACACGAATATAAACACGAACCGTAAAAACTTAGCACGAACCTGACACGATACGATTTGATTGTCACTACTAATCTGAACCAAAAAAAAAAATTTAATTATTTTTTTTTCTATCCATCATACCAAACACAAATGAAGGAAAGTGTATAATTTCTATTTTCGTTTCTTGAATGATAGAAAATGTATCCTTCTTATTTCTCATCCTTCCTCCCAAACGAAGCATTCGGGGTTGAACAAGTGTACCATATTAATTTGCTCTATCAAACTTTAGAAGATGAAATATAGATAGACGAGTTATTGCTCATGCCTGAAAATACGGAGTAATTAAAAAAATGATCAACAATAAACATATTTGTATTCACACTTAAAATCAAATCACAAACATATAGAAGAGAGAAGTAATTTAAGTAGCGGTTGTAATGGAGTTGAATGCTAGTAGTGGGTGGTGGGCAATAGTGGTAATAGTGGGAGACGGTGATAGTTTTGGTGGGTGACGACGACCGTGATGTTACTGGCAGCTATGAGTGACAAAAGTGATTGTGGTTGTGAGTTTTTGGTTGACGATAGTTATAGTTATAGTGATAGTTATGGGTGACTGCAGTAGTTATGGGTGACTGCGGTGGTTGTTTCCCACACATTGCAACATTAGCACTATGACCATGTTTTGCAGCAGTATCCCTGGTGTTGTAGAAGTTTCAGTTGCACTGTTGATAACCACATCCAATTCAGATATATGGATGACTGATCTGTCCATTGCCTAAAATTTTGAATGGATTGGAAAGGAACGAGGGGTACAATGATACCAGTAATAATACGAAAAGAAAGGACAGAATGAGAAGGGGCTAGGGTAGAAACTATTAGATTTTCTGGCGGCGGTGGTGGGCTCGGTGGAGAGTTTCTATTAGATTTGACAGACACCGCAAGAGACTTTTTGGCGATACAGTATGAAAACGTGTTTTGCTTTTGAAAAATGACATAACTAAAAGACAAAAAATCATATAACAAAAACTCAAAGATCTCCTCCCTCTTCATCTTCTTCTCTATATTAGTTCATCAAAACCACCGCGCTTTACCATGATTCCCTCTCCTCTACACACAGCCCAGCTCTCGCCTCCCTTTGGCTCCTCCAACATGCAAACTATTGACTCATATCATACGAGTTGGAGGAATCGTATCTTGAAAGTTAATTCCATTTCAAATTATGTTAAATCCCGAGTCAACACCTAGTTGTCGAAATATCATTCCGAATTAGGTCATACTATTCTGTAATGCCACAATATAACTATAATCTATTGCTATGTTCATATTCTTCATTTAAGTTATATCACCTGATACCGTTTCGCACCCGAACTTGATGTTTCTCAAGACCATCCGTGTCAATGTCTAATAATGTGGCCTTCAACCATGGTCTCCTCTTTCGCCCATGCCAATATCCTCACGTGTAGCCCACACCCACCCTCTCTATATTGATGCAGGACACTTGACAGGGAGTAAATATTTAGTGTAATGGTTAAACTACGTTAATATTATCACGTAATGTAATTATTTAATATTAAATATAAAATTTTACAAAATGATCCTACTTTTTTAGATAGGTAGTTGATATCTTACATGAAAAGTAGTTATTTAATTGAGTGAAGTCCAAATTTTATCTTTGATGAGTTATCATTAGACAATTATGTCATGTGACAATACTAATATTGTGTAACCATTACCGTGAAGATTTTCTCCTTGACAAGAGTCGTGAAACTTATGTTCTAGGAGATTATACGTAGTACCTTGAATTGGTTGTTTTTGCTGTTAATTCTATTTTTTCAATTTTTTCTTGGGGAAACAAAATCTTCTACACGAACTTAATATGTTGTGGTTGTTGTTGAGTTTGCTTTCCTTTTCCTTCTCATTCCCACCCTCTGGCTTTATTTTGGACAATTGCTCCATAATATAACCTGAATTAAGATTGGAAATTGATTTTGGGTTTTGAAGATTTTGAACAATTGACTTTGTTTAGGCTTTAAAACAAAAGTGTAGGTATAAAGCTCAGGCTGTTTTTTCTTCTTGCAATTTCTTGATATCTTTGTTGGTTTATTATTTTATTCCTTTACTTCGTTCAATGGTTGTACAGTGGGGGTGGAGGTGGAGAAGGTGGTGGTGGTGGGCAATGGGGTTGGAGTTCGCAGTGGTGATTTTGTCATTCTAATGAAGGAGGAAAAGAAAGCAGTGGGGCTAGCAAAATTACAATAATTCAATTGTAACAAAATAAACCCATTAAACAAAAATTATGGAAAAGCATTGAGATTCCCTCAACCATCTTTTTNAAATAAACCCATTAAACAAAAATTATGGAAAAGCATTGAGATTCCCTCAACCATCTTAATCTCTTTTTTTTTGGTAGATAACGTATCATAAATTTAAGTGTAAATCATTTATTTATATTTAATTTTTTTTATCTAAAAAAAAATTTCCAACAAAAAAATTTCAGTATGTTTTTATCTAACTTCTCAAGTTAAATTGGTAAATGATTGGAAAGGAAAATAATAAATTATAAATCTTGCATCCCAAAAGCAACACCATTTTACTGTTCATTAGACCTTATTTTTAGCAATATTTCTTTTGACAGTCTATCAGGATCTATAGATAGATTCATGCATTCAAGTTAGGTGGTTGACCTGAATACAAAGACACCAACACATGAGTTGTTTCCATGTCTCTATACAGGCAGCCGTGTACGTTGTATTCGCAGCCAACTCTGCCGCATTC